CTGAAAATCCCTAACACGAATCATTTAGCCAAAAATAATTTGCTTAAATTTATAACAAATAGGTGATTTAATCAACGCTGATTAAAGAAAAAAAATTGAAGAAACGGCGCGATATCTAAATCGGTTGGCCAGGATCACTCACGGTAAAAGTAATATTAAACTTACCGAAAGCTGCACCAGTACTACCTGAAAAAAAAACACAAATCTGTATTATTACATAAACTTAGTCGAGAACCCTGTGATTTGATTGGAAAGGAAAATAAATAGGAGACTAAATAAAAGTTTAAATGTTTCTAGAAAACTCAACTCAGTTTAAGTTAAGGGTTTATAGGTTGATAATCATTCTTACTTGCTTTTTGCAAACTGGCCCCCATTATCCATTGTCTATAAATCATTAGACATTTAAAAGCACACACAAAGTCGAAAATAAATGTGGATTACACTCAGCACACTAATTGCACTAATTAACAGGTAAGATGGTCGACTGTTGGTGCCTTAATGGCACTAAATTGGTACTTTTATCTCATTCATGAACAAAGAACCGACGACCGGTTTAGTCCCTTGCCCATAATAGACTGAACTATCCGATAAAACTCATGCAAAATTAAGGTGTTTCACATAAAAAACTCACCGAGCTACAGAGCTCACATAATCGTTTGCTGGCTGGCCCTTTGGGTGACTCATTGCTATGCTGTTCGATTTCAGTTTTTTTTTATTGACGATTTTCTACAAAACTCTAGTCCGCGATTGAATTGTTTTGGATATTTATTGTAAGCAAAGTTGCTTTCTCGGGTAAAGATAAACAAGCATCGCCGTTCATGGGGCGACTTTTGAATGCTAATTAAATACTCGATCTCCGATCAATCGTTTGCTCAATTGTCAGAAATCGTGAAAATCTTTTTAGATTGATCTATTGTGAAAGGCTGCACAATTTTTAGCAGATCCACCTTTCGCAAAATATGCCATGGTTTGTGAATTCTTCACTTTTATTGCGCTATTAAGAGCTACGGAAAATTCGCACTTACTCAGGTTTTTTTTAACTTTACTATTTTTAAAATTCTTTGCTTTAAAAATTCATCACTTCCCATTTAGAGTACTCCGTTTTCAGGCGCTTCCAAAGGATCTGAGATGGTGGAAAGTAAACGGATATTTTGTGCAATTATTTATTTCTGGGCGTATATTGAAAGCACACAATACATTTTATAAGTCGAAAGAACTTCGGTTCGCAGCAAGAACACAAGAAGTTTCAACTGAAGAAATTTTATTAAAA